AAATCTCATTACTGTTCATCTCACCAAGAACCAGTAAGCAACACTAATTAGAAGTCAGTAATATCAAATGTCTCTTAAATTAGTAACCAAAAATTTCTCCTACTTAGCACTGTCTATGAACATTTCCCTGTCTTATATCTTCTATCTATATATATAAAAGCCTGAACAACCAAACACTATGATGTGCACTGACCAACACAGGGCAGATGTTCAACACAGGAGCTGCCCCCTGGTGGTCAGTGTGCTCCCACAGCGGGAGCACCACTCAGCTGACAGGTGCCAGACGCTGGGCCCATGGCTGGCAAGTGCAGCTGTGGTGGTGCAGCCTAGCCTGCAGGGATCTGGCTGAAACCCACAGTCCAACATCCCCCAAGGGGTCCCAGATTGTGAGAAGGCACAGGCCAGGCTGAGGAACCCCACCAGTGCACGAATCTGTGCACCAAGCCTCTAGTCTATATAATAAAAGCCTAAGCAACCGTTATGGCAGAACAACTAGTTGATTCAACACAGGAGCTACCCCCTGGTGGTCAGTGCGCTCCCACACGGGGGAGGGCCGCTCAGCCAGAAGCTGGGCTCCTGGCTGGTGAGTGCAGCAGTGGGAGCGCTAAGGAGCAAGGGGTCCCGGACTGCAAGAGGGCACAGGCCAGACTGAAGCGAGGGGTCACCTCCATTCCCCCCACGAATTTCATGCACTGGGCCTCTAGTATATTTATAATATTCTTAAAGTTCCTAAGGCACAAGCAAGGCTTTCAGGTAAAAATTGAAGCCAAGGGCTCTTCAGTTGCAGAATTTGTATGTACACTATGTTAAGATAACAAACTACCTGTGTTTCAGCAATTAACAGTACTATTAATAGGGGTTGAAATATAGTCTAACTGTACAATAAAAAAGAAAGGAGCATATTTAGGATTCCCAATACCTACCAAAGTAAACTGTCCAAGAAGTTTGTTGTCTCCAGCCATCTCTCTCTCACCCTGGCACACTTTAATCTCCACCTGAGTCTGACCATCAGCGGCTGTAGAAAACACCTAGGGAAAAAGAAACTTTCTGGGTTGTCTATCTAATTAAACTACTCCCCTTACACAGAGGACAAGCCAAAGAAAGAAACTCACACTGTAATACTGGAAGAGTCCTACTGTACACAATTTTCAGAACAAAGGCTTATGTCTTTTGCTGGGAACAGGAGTAGGATTAGCACAGCAAAAGGGCACCCAATAGCTATTGTTTCTCTAAGCAAATGCACTGTAAAAAGATGCAGCATTGGCACAGAAGGCCTCAAGAGAAGGTGCCAAAAAAACGAGATGTTGAAACATGCTCATGTGAGGAAACAGGTCAGAGATAGGACATGCATTTTGTGCTCAGTCACAGGACGTCACCACATACTTTTCTTCAGAATGATGTGTTGACAATACATCACAGCACAAATATAGCAATAGCCAGTTTTCCATAAAAACATCAAAATTAGAAAAGTCAAGACATCACTCTTAATCCAAAGACCCAAGTCATTGTCCAAATAGCCCTGCCTGGCATCACAGGACACCCATCAGTCACCCATAATAGAAGCTCATTGCACTGTCTTGGTCAGGCCATTCTTTTTATTGCCTTTGAGAACAGAAGAATATAGAGAATTTAGTCCCAAATGATGAGGTTTCTTTTGGTAAGTTAAAGAGTGAAGTTTTCTGGGAAAAGCTCACAAAAATAACTCCAATCACATCCCTCACAGAACCTACTAATCTCTGTGACAAGGTAGAAGGGGGAGGCTCTTACCTGACTTTTCTTGGTTGGAATAGTGGTGTTCCTGTTAATAAGTTTGGTAAATACACCTCCCAGAGTCTCAATACCCAAAGAAAGGGGAGTGACATCCAGGAGCAGCACATCTGTGACATCACCAGCCAACACACCTCCCTGAATGGCAGCTCCCATGGCCACAGCCTCGTCAGGATTGACAGCTTTACTTGGGGCTCGGCCAAAGAGATCCTGCACAGTCTGCTGAAGCTGAGCACCAAGAGAAAAGAACCTGTCACCCACTACTCAAAGCAACTAACTGCCCAAGATGGAGAGAGAGAACACACCTGTCCCAAGACCATAGCAAATCACAGGACAAGTTGCTTCAGATCCAAGAATTTCACTCAAATTACTAGTATTTCATAGTTGAATTCTTGTTAATGATCCGAGTATATCATGTAGGTAACACTCATTTACTTTACTCACATATGTCATTCATAGCCTTTTAAATTTGGGAAGAATTAGTGTTAAGTTTGTTATCTGGTTTCCCATACAATACATTGCATTAGAAATGGTGTAGCCCTGGTCGGTATGGCTCTGTTGGTTGAGCATTGTCTGTTACACAGAAAGGTTATGGGTTTGATTCCTGGTAGGAGGCATGCAGGAGGTAGCTGATCTATGTATCAACTAAACACCAACTAAAAGGAAGCAGTGCAGAGATCATACCATGACAACAGTGGTGCTAACATGAGACATGCTCTTCCCTCCTTTTTTAAATAATGCTAGGGGAAAGTGCTATTTAAATAGCATCTAGGATATTTGCTAACAGAATATCATCCAGGTCCAAAGCCTCTTGTTTCCTCTCCAGATTTATTCTGTGCATATTTTCCTAAGCCCACATACTTGAAAATTTAATATCAAGGCCCAAGATAATTCCATGAAAGTCATAAAGAATTGCTTCTTCAACAGTTTGTGCTCAGTCATTAACTTTCTACACACCTGTCTTTTCAGAATGATGTGTTGATGAATAGAATGCATCATTGCACAAATCTCTGTTGAAGAGTTACAATTAATTAAAAGCCTTAAACACTATGCTGTAAAGACACATGTCCAAAATTATTCCACAGAGGCCAGTTAGTGTCAAGGTTTTATACTTTTTAACTGAATTTTTAGAGAGGAAAGGAGAGAAACATCAACCTGGGCATATGCTCTACTGAGAATCAAACCAGCAAACTTTCAGTGCACATGATGATGCCCAACCAACTGAACCACACCGGCCAGGGCAGTATCAAGGTTTTAAGCTATCTCTGACCTCATGTTCATTCCTAAAAATTCTTTAAGACTGAAGTTCAGAATTCTCCCAGTCACCACCCCAAGGACATTTTGCCCTTCCTAATCCTTTTTCTTATATCCTTGAATTTAAAAAAGAGGCTGAAAAGAACTCTTCAGTTAAAGCACAAATTCATCCTTTCTGGATAACCATGGAAGAAAGGCCACATATTCATATCCCTACACATAAGCCATTTGTCTCCCCCCAAAAAACATGCAGGTCCTTTCTGCTTGCCAAGTTGAGAATTCCATGGATCCATCCATACCTTGGGCATTCTAGTCATGCCACCAACAAGAATCACTTCTCCTATGTCACTCTTGCTGACTTCTGCATCTTGCATGGCTTTTTGGCATGGGGCGATGGTCCTCCTGATTAGCTCAGCGACAATCCCCTCAAACTGAGCCCGGGTCAGCTTCATATTCAAATGCTTAGGTCCAGATGCATCCATTGTAAGATATGGCAAGTTGATGTCAGTCTGCAAAGGAAGCAGGGAGATCAGTAGTGGTGAAGTTTCTTTCTTTAAAAAAAAATATATATTTTATTGATTTTTTACAGAGAGGAAGGGAGAGGGATAGAGAGTTAGAAACATTGATCAGCTGCCTCCTGCACACTCCCCACTGGGGATGTGCCCGCAACCAAGGTACATGCCCTTGACTGGAATCGAACCTGGGACCCTTGAGTCCACAGGCTGACGCTCTATCCACTGACCCAAACCAGTTAGGGCAAGTTTCTTTATTCAATAAATACTATAGGACAGGAAGACTTTGAATGCCACAGTGGTCACACCTACTTTAAAGGAAAAGCTACCACAGTGACTCTTTAAGAGTCCAACCCTATCTCTCCAAAGGTAAAAACACTTCAGAATTTTATTATTAAACAATGAAGATCAGAGGAGAGAAGCAGGAAAAAGCCCTGTTCAGGAGACAAGAAATATTCTACCACTAAATATATAGGGTAGGGCAAAATGACATTTAAGGTTGTGAGTACGCGAAACAGTTCATTCCTATATTAATTACTATATTTTCTATACAAACAACTGTAAACCTACCTTTGCCCCACCTTGTACATTAAGAACCATACTACAGCCTGGCCAGTGTAGCTCAGTAGCTGAGCACAGACCTACGAACCAGGAAGTCACAGTTCAATTCCCAGACAGGTACATGCCTGGTTTACATGCTCAATCCCTAATGTGGGGCATGTAGGATGCAGCCAATCAATGATTCTCATTCATGCTTCTCTTTCTCCCTCTCCCTTCCTCTCTGAAATCAATAAAAAATATTTTTTTTATAGGAAAAAGAATTACACTACTGTTTTTTCCACCAAGTTTTAAAAAACTCCACCTACGGTAGTTATAAACAACAACAAGAGATCCAAGATATGCTCCGAACCAAATAACCTGCCACCAAGCCAGGGCTTTGTTTCAGGAAGACGATTAGAAAGCTATGAACAACAGAGATGCTCTTTAACTACAAGGACTGACTTTACTGCCATCATATCCACAGAGAACTGCTAACATGGCCACAATCAGACCATGTAGTATCTAATATTTAATAAACCCCAAATCCTAATAAGGCATGGATTAAAAATATTTAGACCTGCCCAAAGTGGCTCACTGGTTGAGCATTGACCTATGGACCAGGAGGTCACAGTTCAATTCCTGGTCAGGGCATATGCCCGGGTTGCGGGCTCCATCCCCAGGAGACACCCAGGAGGCAACCAATCCATGATTCTCTCTCTTGATGTTTCTATCTCTCTCCCTCTCCCTTCCTCTCTGAAATCAATAAAATATATATTTTTTAAAAAAAGAATATTTAGACCAAAAAAATCTCATCACTGAACATGCTGAAACAGATGTCCTAGGGGTGGACCCCCGGGAACAGAATTACCTTATGCCTCTCCTCTAACTTCACATCAAAGCAAGGCCCGCAGGGATTAAAGACTCGGGAGCAAATCCTTAAACTTTTCCTTGAGTAAAGTACTGGGACTATTAAATGCTTAATATGAGAGTTAACACATCTTCTGTAGAAACAGTGTTACTGGGTTTTGCCTTAAAGAACACCATTGACCATTTCCTTCTTTCTTTGCAAACTGTCAATAATCCGAATTAGAAAATAGAATTTCATCATCCAAACCAATATGATTCAATAGAACTTTTTGTGACACCAACAATGTTCTATAATCTGCGTTGTTCAATTCAGCAGCCACTAGCCACTTATGGCTGAGCTCCTGAAATACAGCTAGCACAACTGAGGAACATAATTTGAAATTTGTAGTTAACTTTAAATATCCACAAGTGGCTACTGTTTTAGTGTAGTTCTATATGCTGTAAGTTAATGACAACCTGAAAAACTCCAGGACTCTCAACTCTATAAAATCAGTTCATCACAGTTTTGTCCTTCATTTCCCTCAAATCCAAGTATCTTTCACTATCAGTCCTCTCTCTTACCAACTGATGGGCTACAATAACCTCCCAGGGATTTCCCACATCCACTCACGTTGCCTTCTGCCACAGAACCCTTCCCCACTGAAAATAAAACTGTGCTCTATCGGCCAAAGTGCTTTTCATAAACCCAAATCTGACCATGTTATTGCCCCCACACAAAGTTTTTACTGGTTTATTCTCAGAACAGATACCAAAACAAATCTATAAAGCTAGGACTCTAGCCTCCGGTCCCATGCTTGTCTGCACTTTGGCCACACTGACCCCTTCTCAGCACTGCATACTTGATTAATTCAGCATTTCCTAATTAACTCATCTTTCAGACGTCTCCTTGCTATGTCCAACATCTCTGTCAACTGTCAGGTTCCTCTAATATAAATCTAACTTTGCCTTTCTCGTACATTAATAACTTACATTCAGAGAACTTATTACTACACATTCTAAGCATGTTACATGTATGTATGAATTTAGTAATCCTTGAAATTCTAAGAGGAAAAGTAGTACTATTATCTGCATTTTATAGAATGGAAATGTTAAGTCATTCACCCAAGGTCACACTGCTAAGTGATGAAATAGGACCTGAACCCCAACAGTCTACTTGTAGAGCCACTCTTAACCTTTCTTTACATTACTTCTGGCTTGACGTTTTAAGTATCTTTGACATTTTATATAATGTTCTATATAACGTCCACCTCCCACAACACACTAAACTACACGAACAAGGGTAGTGTTTCTCAGAATTTATCCTAAAGGTTTATAATCATACATGCACAAACATTAATGTACAAGGATGCTCAATATACCTTGCTACAATGACAAAATGCTGAGAAAAAAAAAAATCCTAATGCCTATCAATAGGATACAGCAGGTCTTTGAATAACATTTTGTTATAACATCAATGAGATGTCATAGGAATTTATCAAATAGCCTATGAAAAACTGGTTTCCTTATACAACATTTTGCTTAAAACTCACAGACCTATTGATGATATCAAGTGAGGACCTACTGTACAGCCACATAAAAACCAACCAACCTTCCCCTCCAAAAAGTGTCAGACCCCTGGGAAGAATTATAAGCTATTCTCTGGCAGACTGCAATATTTCAACCCTAACCCATCATGTTGCAAAGTTCTGCCACTCTGTATGATAGCAGGAAACAAAGCAACATCATCATCATCATGGGTGACTTTGTACAACTTTATCATTCCTCATAGCTACTTAAAAAAAAGAAATTCCAGGTTTGACTCAAGTTTAACACCTCTTCTCCTCCCATTGGTAATCAAACTACTAAAGTAGTCACAGGTTGTTTCTCTGCCACCTAAGAACCTGAAATTAAATCTCTTGCCTTCCACCTTGTTTCGTCTCTGACCGGGATCTACCATACTTTCTACATCCCTATTCTTGGTTATTAAAGCAAAGTGAAGCTTCATCTCTCTGAAATGAAGCAGGATAGGCTGACACCTTAAAACAGATGCTGAGCAAATCTGATGCCCAGAGGGAAAAACTTGCTCAGGTGCATAAACCCCAGCCTTCATAGCTCACTTTCTAGATCAGTGATTCAAATTAAAGGAGAAACTATTAGAGACCCACACAAAGGGGTATCTTGAGTTAAGTGAAGACAGCAGTGCTGAGAGTCTCCTGATATTTACAGGGTAGCAATTATAGCTTTGCACACTGCTAGTCTAGATTTTAGCTCCAGTACACATAACCTCGGATTTGGATGGTTAACAAATTTAGGTCACCCATTAAAACACACACACCACCTGCTCCTTTGCTCATGGAAAGGTTTTTACCACCAATCAGCAAATGGTAAGACCATTAAAATATGCTATTCAAGTAAGCTCAGGCTGAAAAGATCCATCAAGACTGCTGGGATTTGTCCATGTCTCACCTGCACAGATGAGGAGAGTTCACACTTAGCCTTCTCAGCAGCTTCCCGAACTCTCTGAAGTGCCATGTTGTCTTTGGTCAAATCAACTCCCGTCTACAAAGTGAAGACATTAATGCTAGTATTAATGAGGTGATAAATACTCTTAAATTGCAGTGATACGCTGTTAACAATTTAAAATAGAGCCTAACTTTATAAACAAGCATAAGTTACTTCTTCCCTTTAAAATTCTGTCGGGAAAAGAAAACCTATTCTAAAAGGGCTATCTATGCCTGGAGTCAAAGGCCAGAACTGATCTTAGTTCTTTCAACCGTAGGAGTCTAGCTCAAAAAAAGGAGTTCCCAGAATTCTTTTTTCAATATTGTACAAAGAGTGCCATATCCTTTCAACAGAAACACAAACATTTCAGTGTTCTACTCAGGGCAAAAAAATTTAGTGCTCTATTCAGGGCAGCTATCTGAGTAAGGAAATTTTCACTATCCCGATGTCTACAGATTAACCACACCAGTAACTAACCTCTCTTTTAAACTCCTTCACAATGTGTTGTAGCAAGGCCTGGTCAAAGTCTTCACCACCTAAGAAAGTGTCTCCATTGGTGGACTTCACCTCAAATACTCCTTTCTGAATTTCCAGGACAGAAATATCAAAAGTTCCACCACCTAAATCATATACAGCAATGCTAGAAAGAAAAAAAGGAAGGCCTTAAGGAACAAAAGTAATGCTACAACATGGACAAACATGAAAACATATCTGACCAGCACATGGTGGAACCTATGCCAACATACATTTCAATAACCAAATAAACTTACCTATTTTCCCCAAAGTATAATTATGAAATTTGATAATTGTGTGACATTTGTATTAACATATGGCCCTAACATGTGAAGTATACATACAATTGAAATGAATAAATTCACTTAAAAGCAAAACCACTCTTTTGGAGGGGAGGAAATGACCCTATTAGACCAGTAATTACGGGAAAATAGTAAATAAATAAAAAGTCTTGAAATGAATGAAAAACAGATTATACAGCCTTGCAGAACATCAAGGCAGTATATTTTTAGTCTAAATACAAGAATCAATCACTAAGAAATCAAAATGATGACTTAGGATGAATCTTGGTGGAGTTTATTATATAGACTTACACTTTATCTTCCGATTTGTCTAGACCATAGGCCAGAGCAGCAGCTGTGGGTTCATTAATCACCCGAAGCACATTCAGTCCAGCTATCTGACCAGCGTCCTTAGTGGCCTAAAAAAGAAAAAAGCCTTTTCCACCTTTGTGTCCGAAATACCACTAATTTCCTAAATAAAAATGCTAATTGACTCACCTGTCTTTGTGAGTCATTGAAATAAGCTGGGACTGTGATCACAGCATTTTTTGCTGTATGCCCCAGGTAATTTTCTGGAAAAGAATCAAGGAACGAATCCAATCATGCGATTGTCAGTTGAAATAGGTAACAGAATTACTAATGTAACCTAACAACCTATATCATCCTTTTGGAGCCACAAACAGCACACACCAGTTTTTCAGCGTGCTAAGACCTAACATGTAGAGACCTTGTAGGAAAATACTCCAACTGAAGATAATAATTAAAAACCAAGACCTCACCTCTAACACTTCAGTGAAAGTTCAACAACCAGAATGACTTAAAATGACTACTAGTTTCATCATCAATGGGAAGTTCTAAACTTTTACCTAACAGACAAAAGCTTATGTGTCATCTTTTGGCTTTCAAACTACTCCTCCCCTACTGGAAAAAAGGACCAAGAAAGCCACCATTAGGAAAATTTGGAAGATGTATTCAATCTGCAGAGAATAGTATGAAGAGTTTTGCCATCCCTAGGTTTTCTGTATAAAAGCCACCAGACTCATCCAAGGGACACTGGGGTATAAAAGCTAGTGATCTCAGATAAATCACCCAGTTCTTAGTACTTTCCCAGACGTGAACTAAACATCTCACCTGCAGTCTCTTTCATCTTCATCAACACAAATGCTCCAATCTGACTTGGAGAATAGAGTTTTCCATGAGCTTCAACCCAGGCATCACCATTGGAGGCGCGGACAATTTTAAAGGGAACATTTTTACTGCAAGACACAAAAATTGTATTTGAAAAAACATGGCAGGGTAATCTACCATGAATATCCACCCTCCCATCCCCAGAAATCCATGGTCAATGAGAACTTCAGAAATGAATTTAATGAAAGCCTTTAGAAAGTAAACATTAACATGTCAAAACACCCTGATGAAACCCAAACATTCTCTACTTCCCACCAAACAAAAAACTTAAGCAGCTGCTTTGGAAAATGATTATAGTTATCACTTATAGGACACAGAAATTCCATTACTAAGTATCTAGCCAGGAGATATGAAAACATGCGCTCACACAAAAACCTGTGGCAGCATTATTATTCATAATAGCTAAAAAGTGGCCCGGCTGGTGTGGCTCATGGTTGAGCATTGACCCATGAACCAAGAGGTCACCAGTTGGATCCCCAGTCAGGGCACATGCCCAGGTTGCAAGTTCAATCCCCAGTTGTGCAAGAGGCAGCTGATCAGTGTTTCTCTCTCTCTATCCCTCTCTCTTTTTTAAAAAAATATATTTTATTGATTTTTTACAGAGAGGAAGGGAGAGAGATAGAGAGCCAGAAACATCGATGAGAGAGAAACATCGATCAGCTGCCTCCTGCACATCTCCCACTGGGGATGTGCCCGCAACACAGGGACATGCCCTTGACCAGAATCGAACCTGGGACCCTTCAGTCCACAGGCCGACGCTCTATCCACTGAGCCAAACCGGTTTCGGCTCTATCCCTTTCTGTAAAGTCAAGAAAAAAAAAGGGGAAAGCAAACTTAATGTCCATTAACATAAATGGCTAAACAAAATGTATATATCCAGACAATGGAATATTATTTGGCCATATAAAGTAATGAAGTATTGATAACATGCCACAACACAAACCTTGAAAACTATCTCATCAGCACATGCCACTATCTGCCTTACAAATTTAACACCAATTTACATGGCCTAGGAATGACTAGCCAAATCTTCATATACCACATCTATACACAGCAAAGACCTAATCTGTGGAGGCAAAAATAAATTTTTTGAAGGAGATTCCTTTTGGCAGGAGAGGCCTTGCCCCCAGGGACACATAAAATTACTAATGTGCTCAAGGGAACTTGCTAAAAGATTCTTTTGTGTGGCCTTCGAAAATAACTATGCTTTTGTAATTACTCACATGTCTTTCTGGACTTCAGGGTCGTCATATCGCCGGCCAATAAGACGCTTGGTAGCATAGAATGTGTTGTTTGGGTTGGTGACAGCCTGTCGCTTAGCAGGCATGCCAACAAGTCGCTCACCATCTGTTGTAAAGGCTACAACTGAAGGGGTGGTTCTGGCACCTTCAGCATTCTCCAGCACCTAAAACACCCAAAGAAAGACAGAGAATGAGGTTCCAGTGACCACCACTGTCTTTGTATTAATCATTTATGACAAAACAGATGTCAACTCACAACATAAATGCTCAAGAATAGTGGATGTTCAAAATATCTTTATTTTGAAACAACAGAAAGAAAACCAGAATATAAATCAGAGCTTTCATAGTCAATGTAAGGACAAGGTAATCTTTCCTTCTAGAAGAATTAAATCCATTTCTCAATTTTTTTGGTAATGGCTAAAAAGTTTCAGGCATATAAAAATTGCCAAGAAACAATTCAAGAATCTCAGGTGCTCTAAATATCAAGAACCTAGTGGGAATAAAAGTGTCATAAAAAAAGTAAGGAAACTTCTGGAAGAATAGCTACCATAATAGGAATCTCCTAAGATGCTTTACTTAGGTTGCAGCCCATGTATTATGTGGAGCTCCACTTGGGATTGATAACAGAAGTAATCTGTAATCTATCTGTAACCCATCCCAATGGTAATTTAGTAGTCCAAGAGGACACACCTAAATCCTTGGAAGTCAAATCCATTCAATTATCAGCACCATGCAATTGTGACCCAGAGCTTCAAGTCATGCTCACCTTTGCTTGTTTACCTTCCATAACGGCCACACAGGAATTGGTAGTACCCAAATCAATACCAACAACTGCTCCCTTGATTGCTTCTGATCTGTAAAGCATTTAAAACAATGCTATAGTTACCATTTTAACAGTGATCTCCAAAATGGTTACAGGAATAGTACATAAGAAAATATTAGGTACTGTGGGAATAGTGGCACATTACATAATCTGAAAATACAGATGTGTCTTTTCCTGAACAGAATCATTAATCACAAAGTTAGAGACCACTGCTCTGGGGTTTAGAATTTATCTCTCAAAGGAAATAAAGTTACACTTACGCATAGTCCCGCTTTGAAACAATTCTAAAAGTCTCATGACTAAGGCCATTCCAGCCATCCTAAAAAAGAAAAAAGTTACATCAGCCATTATTACATATGAAAACTTGAACTTGTTCCAATTATTCTTCTGAAAGTCTTGAACTCTCATTCCACTTAACTGGGTGGCTATCATATATAAAATATACTGAAATGATGAAGCGTTTCATGTGTAAGAGGCATTGGGGTACTGAAGCAGCAAGTTTAATAAAGCCCTACGTATAGGTGTGTATTGCAGGTATAAGTTTATTTAGAAACATTTACCCTGACCCTGCCAAGCAACTGCTTTAAAGAGAGAGGATAAGAAATCTTGTGGGGTCAACTTAGAAAAAAAAAATTTTTTCAGGAGTAACCTCCAACCTGGATCAAAGAAAAGACCTTTGTTACCACCTAATTTTAGGTCACTTCCAAGCCTTTCTTTAACCCCAGTAAGACAATTCCAGTTCTTCAAAGATGTAGGCTTTTGATCGTACGTGGTAACAAGCACCATGGCTTTCCCACAATTTGCTTACATTTTTTGAAATAACAGGACAATCTTAACCCCAAAATGTGGGGGAACTAACTACACAAACATTCCTAAGCAAAAGAACGGGAACTCGATTCTGGATTTATTAAGGTGTGTTCTTGCTTCATTTCATCTTTGCAGCGGGGTCCTTGCACACATGTATCTTACAGAAGAGGAGAGCAGTCGTCTCCGACTCGTTGG